GACTGTGATGTTTTTTAAAGTATGCTTTATTGTTGCGAGAGTAATGTTGCACTCGTCACTCACCGAATATGTCACAATGTTGTGATCTCTTGAGAAATCTCTGAAGATTCGCCGAAGCTCACAGCTGTTATGGGTTTCAGGGTGGATTCTATGTATTCCAACTATTTGATTTCTATGCAGCATCCGGATGGGCACTTCTATGGTTGCTTTTCTTTGAATGTATCGCAATTTCGTGGAGTGTTGGTATGTTCATGAAAACAGATTTTCTTTTGTGCCTTTGTTGGTGTCCTTATTTTCAATCAAGCTGAACGTCTGGATAGTAAGAACATACGAATATAAATGTAACTGCTTCATAATATCGCACTACTAATTTATCGCAGGTTATATACTCATGCCTATAAGTTTATTAAATTCAGGTATCGATCGTTGGTACGAGCATATGAAATCGATGATAGGGTATTATCCATCTGTATGGTGGAAATTTTGTTGGGTTTTTGCGACACCAGCAGTCACAATGGTACGATAAGGGTTCATTTGTTATCTTGTGCTCTGAACGTGAATGATTTCTGATTAAGGAAGGATTTCTCACCAGATTATCTCTCAACATCCATTGCTTCTCCATAGACCGAGTTAGAAATCGAAAGATTTCTTTCGATGATCACCAACCGAACGTATTACTCAAATCTCCTAAAATTCGGCAGGACCACTTTTGATCGTTGTGATCTCGTTCGTGACACCGAAATTCGGCGGTCTCTAAACAAATTTTTTCTGGTCCTTGGTTGGTGGCCATGGAAAACTGGGTTTATCAAGGCTACCTATTAATCGGCCGTTTTCAATTCCGATCTGCTAGTGGTACAGCCTAGGGAATCCACCCCAAAGAAAAATCTACCCTAATTTTTGGACTAGATGATTTTGTGCCCCCTCCTTTCCCTTGAAAAAACCCTGGCTACGCTGACCAAAGGCACCAAGTTTCGGTAACCAATGTCTCAACTCTATTTATGGTGACTCCTTGCTATAATCGATACTAACTGATTCTGCTGGCGTGTGATGAATGGGGAACGGTTCTGCTTGCAGGGAACAATGGCATTTGGCTTGGCCAAATATCAACCGCTGCGTATTGATGCATATGACTACGATTATCCTGCATGGGGACACATTTTCGGATGGTTTCTTTCTCTATCGTCAATGTTGTGCATACCTGGATACGCTATCTATATATGGATGGTCACTGACGGCACCATATCTGAGGTTGCTTGACGGTTTTTCTTATGGTTGAAGTGTGGACGATTTCAAACAATTAGGATACAATTTGTGAGGAATATTATGTGCTGACTTCGGATAAAAATATAATGTGATAAATTGCAGAAGATTGAGAAGTTATGCCGACCGAAAGTTCAGATTGTAGTTGACGGTGAACTTGGTCGTGAAATGGTGATGACAGAACGTGCGCAGGAAGTTGTCTGATAAATCTCGTATCAAAAAATCGTTTTTGGTTGATCAGTGTGCATTGGATCACAAATTTTCTGCTGATCACAACTTTGATTGATTGATTTGTATTGTTGAGTGATGATGAGCGATTCTCTTGGAGTGATCTCGACCGGATGCTGATAGCAGGGCTTGGTTTTCGGGGGAATGAAATTCGATGAATTAACTTTGATAGAAATATCAAAATCTTGCACCCTTCGCTGCTGTTCTGATTTTGAGGGGTGAAATTTGTTGTATTCAGTTAAATGCACAAGAAAACACAGTAATACCATATTTATTTTGAAGCAAGTATAC